TCTACTTGCCTGTGCTCTTAAGAAGATCTGAGGTCAGTTCATTTCCTTCTTGTGCAAGAGAGATCAACTGTAATTGGTGACGAAGCAACCAGAAGAACAAGAGAAAAAAGAAAGGAAAACACAAGTTAATTCTAAACGATCTCATATACAAACTGCAATTCTCTCATTTGATTCTTTTGAATACAACCTGCATTGCAGTGATGAATTCCTTGAAACCTAGAAATCCTTGCCGTTTGGAGTCAGCAATAGCCCAAACCTTTGATCATAAAAATGCATATGAAAAATGAAAGAAAGGAATATTATGAAAAAATTTATGAGCTAAGCAGATAGCAGAGAATAAATTAAAATGATCATCAAGATTCAATTTTACCAGGGGTAGAAATCTTTGGTAGTAATAAGAACACAGTATTTAACAGATTAACAAATTACACATTCCACAATTTTCTTAGGTTCAAATACATTATTCGTTAGGTTAAAATACAAAATTTGGAAATTAATAAAATAAATTGATGCATAGAATTATATCCAAGAGCAGCACTGATTCAATGGAATGAATTATCGACAAGCAATATTAATCTCTAACATGTCAAATTGATACCAACCTAAAAGATGTCCAGTGAATCACTACAGTTACCACTACATCAATCTCCAGATAAATCGAAGTACTCAAAGCCATCAAAAATTCGTGTCAATCACTCAATATCAGGACAAGAAAGTCGCTGTTTCTCAAAAAGATCAAAACCGAACCGTCGACAAAATGACCAAAAACATCTTATTATCGACCAGATGATGAATATAAACAAGCAAAGCAGATAGAAGTCCATAGGCTCCTTAATATAAACCAACTATATTAAACAAAAAATATATACTCAGTTAATAAAAACAATCTTTCACATAGAAACGAATATTTTACCTGCTTGAGTTCGTGTTTCGATAGATTGGACATCTCAAAAAACCTTGTTGCGTCATTCCCAGTCAAACGGCCATCTCCATCTATATACAATAAATAATAAAATTGTACGAATGAACCAAAGCGTATTCATAACACGATTAAAGAGCGAGCTGTCGGTAAAAAGGAGCGTTGAAATGGAAAAGAGAGATGAACCTGAATCGGCGAAATTGAACCAGGTCTGATAGATTTTCTGATCCTCTTTAGAACATAAACTAATCGGACCTGAAACCATTTCCATCTCTTTGAAAATGGACTGCACTGTGTGTGTTCGTTGATATGAACAAAAATGTGAATTTGAAAACCCTGAAAGGAGGGAACTTTTATAACAGTTGTGGCGCAGGAGACCTACGCTCTCAAGTTTAATCTCTACAATGTTGAACAGTTTTAGCCAGAGTCGTCAATTATAGACGCGACTTTTGTTTTAAAGAAGCATCGGTAGCAATTGGAGAAACTGTACAATTATAATCATATTATAAGATTAAATTAAATTAATGATGAAATTAACGGAATTCAAATACCATTATCACTATCATGTTATCACCATTGGATTGGAATAGGTAATCTTATCATTATCATTAAAAGTCCAAATTTAAAAATTCAAATATTTTCAGCGGCAAGAGCAGAATACATACAGTTCATTTCGTCTTTAATTAATTATTATTTGGGACCATTTACAAAATTAATGTAATATCTATTAATGGCAGAATTTATACATAAACTTAAAAAGCAATTAATATTATTTTAAGTGCATATAAGATGATGGTTTGTTTTTTAATTGATCAAACATTTTTTTGTATAGAAAACTTTAATTACGATCTATTTGAGTTGAATCAGATTTCACAGGAAATATGGAATGAACTGATTAATTCACAAAGGTGGGTGTTAGGCAATTTTGTTGTCAAACGACCT